CAAAATATGCATAAAATCGATTTATAGCAAATATTTATATTAACATTTAGCATAACAATAAAACTACTAATTTATAATAATCAAAATATTCACATAGAAAAATCATATAATTTATATGATAAATTTAAAATATATATTAGAAGTATAAATTTAAAATCATTCAAGGAACGGTATACCACAGGTGAGATCCTAAAATTATTAGATTTTATAACAATAATAATTTATTTTCTTGGATTTTATAACACTAATAATTTAGCTAATGGGATAATATAGACGGGTTTATATGGGATGACGTGTTTGGGTCAATATTAATAAAGAACGGTATATCACGGATGAAATCTTAAAATTAACAATCAAAATACAATTGTACAACCTTAAACACAAAACAAAACATATAATATTAACAAAACAAATATAACTTAAAATTTAAAAAATTTAGTTATACAAGTATTGACCCACGGTATACCGCGGAGTAAAATATTTAAAATTTTAAAATTGACCATACATCATTACTTAAAAAATGTATGTTTTCGTATCTATACTTCAAAAATTGAAACTTAAACAGTAGTAATCATACACTAAATAATACATAGATAGGTTTCTACATTTAAAAATACAAACTATCTTCAGTTAATCTTTTAAAAAATAACATTACATTTTTTAAAAAAATATAGCCCCGCGGTGTACCGCGTGTTAAATTCTAGTTTACTATTAATAAAAGGAATTTATTGAGACCTCTCAATCACTCAATGTCTCCAGAATTCTCATAATTGCTCTTAAATTGCCATGTAAGTTTCAAATTTTCTAATTAAATAAGAAAATTGTGTTGCCGCATCAGCTATTCTATAAACATTAATTCTACTCCAGCTTCGTAAAATCAACGCCACACATTAATATTTGGCTCCATTAATAACTCTATTACAATAACATTTCAATGGACTAAAAAATTAAAAAAGTAAAAAACACGTATAATAGCCCAAGAAAAAAATAAATAAATAACCCACATCTTTTAAAGCAAATCCCAAAACTACCTTTCTTTTTTTGGTAGGAGGAGGGAGATGGGAGTGTCTCCCATTTATTAAAAATAAAATAACTTATAAACGGACTCGTTTTGGGCGCGTATACCCAATAACGTCATCACTCAAAAGTGAGTCAATATCATTCGGAGCAACATCAAAAAAGTGAAAGCCAGGAGGCAAAGAGAACGCATAGTTAGCTAACCCGTCCGCGAGACGGTTAGCTAACTCGTCCGCGAGACGGTTAGCTAACCCGTCCGCGAGACGGTTAGCTTCCCTATACACGTGCGAAATACGGACTATCCAGTCCCTCGATAGAAAGCCATGGCACAGACGTACCAGGAACGACAGCGAATGCATCTCACTCACCCCTGTCCTCAGGAAACCAAACACTAACTGCGAGTCCACCTCCAGCTCTAACTGCGTAATCTGCCTCTCCCAGGCTATATACAGGCCGTAATAGACTCCCCATAGCTCCGCGAGCGGTGCCGTGCAACGACCTATATTGAGTGAGAAGCCACCACACCAACCGCCATACTCATCCTGCAAAACTCCTCCCGCTGTAGCTAAACCCGGATTCCCGTGTGAGGCTCCATCCGTGTTAAGCTTAAACCAGCCATTCATTGGCATCACCCATCCAACTAAGACTTCAGCTCGACCCCCCGATGTGCCAACTCCGCTATGTAACTTATGGGCCCGAGTAACATCCCTTGCTGCCTCTTTGATAAAGCAAGTCCGGTCCCGACACTTCCTATCGTTACCAAACACGTTGTCACACCGCCATTTCCAGCTCCACCACACTGCCATAGCAAACACCGTAGCCCACGTACTCTCATAATGCTCTTTCTCATCACTCAAATTATCAAACACCCATTCCAGCAGGGATTTATCAAAGAAAGTGCGTCTCTTCCGTGAGGGCAGGATCCGCGTCCAAATACCATGCATAGCCGGACAATCTCTAAGAATGTGAAGAATCGTCTCAACTCCACCTTTACACACTTGACAGACATCGGAGTTACTCAAATGCCTGCGACTCCGTTCAGCATCCGTCATAAGGACTTGATTACAAACCAACCACAAAAACACTCTTACTCTCTCCGGCGCCGTCACCTTTCAGATACGGCTATAGAATTTTTCTAGATTAGGTCACGGATCACTATTCCTTGTGAGCAAAGAATATGCTGACTTGACTGAGAAGTTCACATCAACACTCTCACTCCAAGATAAACGGTCCCGAGCTCCCGTAACTGTATCCACCACCACTGCCATCAACTCCAACCGAGTGTTCTCCGACACATACGGTGTAATTCTATCCAACATCCAACCATTTCCATCCCTCCATAAGTCCCTTACCCTCAATAATTCATACCCTTGCGGTAACAGTCCAGTAGCCTCCTCCGATAAGATCTTATTAAAGAGCCAACGATCTGTCCAAAATTTCACGTGACCACCATTCCCCACGACCCAGCTCTTACCCGGAATTACCACATCCCGCAAACCCGAGACAATACTTTGCCACGTTGAAGACCAATTCCCCTTCGCTACTAGCCATGAGCCATCCTGAATATCCCCGACTTTGTATTTCTTTTTCACCACCTTAATCCATAAACTATCTCGATCATGAAGTAATCTCCAACCCAACTTTGCCACCAATGCCTTATTCATGTCTTGGGCTGCTCTAATCCCTAGCCCACCCTCCGATTTAGGTAAGGAGATTTTACTCCACGATACTAGATGTTGTTTCTTTTTTTCCCCGCTGCTCCCCCATAACAATGACTTAGACGCAGGGTCCAGCTTTTCTAGGATCGATTTTGGTATACAAATTGTACTCATGGCGTGAACTGGGATGGACGATAGTACAGCCTTAGTTAACGTTACCCGACCCGCAAGGCTTAGAAACCGACTCTTCCAACCCGACAATCTTGACGTTATCTTCTCAAGTACCTCTCCGAACGTATCCTTATTTATTCTCTTTTGTAGAACCGGCATATTTCCCCAAATCACGTGTGGACTTAATACCACTCTCATCCGTAATGAGCTTCTCCAACTCCCGTAATACATTGCTAGAGAAAAATATTTTCGACTTCTCAAGATTAACTTTTTGACCCGATGAGCTGCAAAACTTTTCTAGGACTCGTCGTATGATCCGTACTTGTGCTACCGTCGCCTCCGCAAACAAGATAAGATCATCGGCAAAGCAGACATGTGAAAGCTTTGGACCTCCCTGAGACAAGCTAATAGGCTTCCATTCTTTAACCGCAGTAGATAACTCAATCATATGACAGTCTCTCCATACAAAGCACAAAGAGATAAGGAGACAATGGATCTCCTTGTCTAAGACCTCGCATGGGCTGAAAAGACTCTGTCCGCTCCCCATTCCAAAGCAAATTCATTGAAGGACCCGAAACACACTCCATAATCCAACCCACCCACGCATCCGAGAAACCCGCGGCAACCAAAGTATCCTCCAGAAAGTCCCATCTAATACGATCATAGGCTTTCTCCAAGTCTAGTTTCAACAACATCCATCCTTTTCGCCCTTTTTTGCGACGCATTGAATGGACTGCCTCCTGTACTACCACAATATTATCCACACTTAACCGTCCCGGAATAAAACTCGCCTGAGTCGGTCCAACCAATTTATGCATCACACCCTTGAGTCTCCCAACCATAGTCTTTGTTATTATTTTAAATAAAACATTACAAAGACTAATTGGACAGAATTGTGTTATCTTCTCCGGTTTTGCTACCTTAGCAATCAACACAATGAGAGTATCATTAGTATCACGAGGTAAGATACCCGTAGTAAAGAAGTCCAATACAAACTTCACCACCGAATCCCCAACAACTTCCCAACACTCTTGGTAAAACACGGGCTTAAATCCATCCGGTCCCGGGGCCTTAAACTTCCCCATGCTTTTTACCGCTTTCACCACCTCCGCGGCAACAAAAGGTAAGTTTAAATCCCGAACCTCGTCTCAATCCAGCTTTGCAAAGCCTATCAACCACCTCTTCCACATCAGCCATTGAGTATAACCACATCACCCAAAACTACCTTCTTTAACAAATCTATCCAATTTTTTTAGTAACGCAACTCAATCTCTTTAGACTCTTTACATGTCATATGTTAAGGCATCATTATTTATTAACCTTCTTCGTTTCACACTTTTCTTCTCTTTTCTTCAAATAGAAATCTGAAATGACCTTATGGGTCTCTCTCAAATCAGGATGAGGATTCAAGGATCGAATAATTCGAGTTAGGTTATAGTTGGAAACTTGGATTTGAGTCTGATTAGTGTGTCCTATAGAAGTTGGTAGTCGAACGAGAGCGGGAACGCCTTACAACGATATGGGCAAACACAGAGAGACTATGACAGATTAAGTATAATTTCAAACCACCTAAACCATAATTTTCTTCACGTTTAGACAACCATTGCGTAAGATTTTCATATTATAACTCTAAATTATGGTTTGAAATCTAATATGATATGAAACATTAGATGAGTTTAAACACAAAATAAAAAATCTTCTACAAAACGTCAAAGTGGAAGAAGAAAAAAATGAACTAAAGAGGACTACAAAAGTTAAGAAAGGAATAATGAAATGAAAACCTTATGAAAATAAAAAGTAAAGAATAATATAATTGATTATAACAGAGATGGTTAACAAAAAAAAAAAAAATCTTGTGAGAGATGAATATGATTGGTTTACGCGCCCTAGACGGATTAGTGTGTAATTTTATTCATTTTTATTTATAAAATTTTGGTACTTTACCAAAAAAAAAAAATTCTTCGAGACGACTACAAATAAATCAGACATGGTTAACAAAAAATATTCTATTAGACATTATATAGATGAGAAAAAACTATATAGAGTAACTAATAGATCAACAGTATCATATTCGTTATATTTATTAAAATGTTAAATATAACATCAAATGTTTTTTTTAATGTATAACTAAAATTGAATTTAAACTAAAGTTAATCAATCTAAAAATGTTGATTATTAAATATATTACCGGGTATAGCCCGAATTTTCTACTAGTCTAGGTAATAATCAATAAATTTATAGCCGCCGCCTATTTCTAATACGGCGCATAGACGGCCGCTTGAACTGTTTTTTTGAACGATGATTATTAGGCATTACATTGCCAATACGGCAAAAACAATAATAGCATAGTACACCAAGGATTCCACCAGCAATAGAGTTTACTAGGACGCTCATATCAAGGCATGCCTTCAATTTAGGGTTTATGAGGAAAATCATGTTCATGCATGCAATCGTTGTATGGTTTGGCGCGAGTTGATCATTGTCCAGTTTGGGCTCCATATCATCCATGTGGAAGCAGACATGTTGACATACGGAAACAATCTACACATAATATAACGACAATGGTAAATGATATATAATTGACACTAAATAAGTAAAGATTATGCAAAAGGATGCATGATTAAATGGTACCATAACCTCATCAAAGTTGTGAGAATCAAAAGTCGACACAGCTTTCAGAGTGGCTATTCCAGGCCTCTTTGCCTGGATAACTCCATAGAATGACACAACCAAAATCCTCGTATCTGAGCTGAGCCACTTGTAATCATGACCGGATGCTTTTGCGCATCATATATATATTGAACATCAATTAAGATCTCATACTCATGGCACTTAATAGTCAAACAAGGAAACAAAAGATCATATACCTCCTCTCACAGCTAGATTAATCTTCTGAGAAACATGAGGGGCCCATTGGTCTGGTACCTCCTCTGGATTCTTATGTCCATTAGAGTAAGCATATTCAGAAGAAGCTCCTCCTAGAGAAAGCATGGCCATAACCAAAAAGCACAATGCCAGACGACGGACACAATTGGCCCTCATTCGAACCTAGAACACTAATTAAACACAAAGTCAGATTTGATACTGGAGCAGCAAAAATCTAATGAATAAAGCCCAACGTTAAACTTAATATATACATTAATTCATTTCCGATTATGAATTCCTGAAACGGAACAAACGTATAGGTCCCTACTCACGAGAAATCCGGTACGGCAACCGAACAGCATAAAACCCAACCATTCTATTCTAACACAAAAGAAACTAACAACAAGAAGAGAAATCACGCAGCCATGTGGTGAGCACAAAGCGAACTATTCTCAGTAACTTAAGATATCGGAGAGACATTTGTACCTCTTAATCCAAATATCTGCAGAGGAAGGACAAGAGAGCGAGACGGAGGAGAGTCGGCAAAGATCGATGGTGGACTATATATTAGGTACGTGAAAAATAAAAGATCAATTTGTTACATAACACTAAGGGGGTGTTACTGGATTGATGTTTTCAAAGTTTTTTTTAGCTTAACCGATTAATTTGCAAGTATTTTGATGAGTTTTGACCAAGTCACTTCAATACACGAACACGATGGAATTTCTCTTGTATATTGGTATAGATTTTGACTGAGTTCCCTTTCCACTACAACCATATCCAAGGATTCCTTGCCAAAAAAAAAAAAAAAAAAAAAACTAATTTAGTTTTAAAACATAATTTTAGTTTCCCTTTACAAAATAGCTAACCAACGTTTCTAACCAATTTTCTTTTGATACATAAAATATCAAAATCGCTCGATGTTTTATGTGACATACTCAAAGGACGAAACGATTTTTCGCAACCAAAACTAGTAACGCCAATAATATTCAATAAATGATCCATGAGTTTAGATGACAAGCTTCAACTCTTATAAATCCTCTATGTTTTGTTTTATAACTTTTGAAAGTCCATGTTTTAATTGTAAAAGCTCATGTGTTTGCCCATTAAATACCACAAAGCTCAACACGTAATTTAATTTTTCAATAACGCTAGGAAATAAAATAACGATAGTTTAAAGTTAGTTTAATTTCATAGAGTTAATAATTGATAGAGTTTAAGAATAGAGATATATTTGGTGGTAGCAGAGATATTTGTTTCATAGAATCCTCTGACAGATTATGATGACTTTACGTTAACTCATATAACACCGTGATAGATTTAATTTTATGTGGTGGTAGAGTTATGTGACATTGTAAAATAATATATATGTGAAGGAGGGTTTTATGTAATTGTGGTATACTAAAAGAGCGATTTAGAGTTATGTGACAGAGAAATCGTAATAAGTCTGTTACAACATGGTAGAGTTAATTATTTTGACAGAGTTATTTCTTAACTCTGTCATAACGGGGCAAAGTAACGGTTTACACAACTAGCACGTTTGAGTATTTTTTTTGGATGCATGTGGTGATAGAGCTGTAAGAAATTGTTAGCGATCAGTATTAAAGAGGGCGAACATTAAAAAAAAAGCGAAAGTCTTGTTTATCCTTACATAAACGATTTATTACGCCGGAAACATGTCTTGTTCCCCCGAAGCAAACATTTTAGCAAAAAAGTGTTGTTTATTCTGAAATCTATTGCTGTTTCATCTGGTGAAAGATGGTAGAAATTCCACTGGTATGTGGGAAGTGGAAATTTGCAAAAACCCGTTGGTCATTTATTGTAGATGAAAGAAGAGGTTGCAGGGTACTGTCTGCGAAAGCAGGAAGTTCGTTTGAAGATTTTTTGGCAATGGTGTACGAGGATTTCGGGTTTGATAGAAAGGTTTATGAGGTTAAGCTTAATTATAAATTGCATACGATGAACTTCATCGTGATTCAAGAAGATACTCCTCCGGTTATTGTATGTAACCGGCGCCAGTTAGAAGGATTTATCCGGCAATGCAAATCCGAAACCGTGGGGCGCCTTTGTGTCCAAATCGAAGAATATGAAACTGAAAATCATATTTTTGGCCCGGATGTATCACCTGAGAAAACAGAGTCCAAAGAAGAGCAGTATTACAAGAGTAAAGCAGCAGCGAAACAACCAATTTATACTTGTTCTATGGAAGGTGAGGATGAGGACGAGAGTTACAGGTTTGATTGTTGGGATGATAGTGATGGAGCAAGCTCTGGGGATGAAGATTACGGTAAGTCTTATAAAATTTCTGATGAGGAAACAGATGATGAAGATGATGATGATGAAGAAAACTTAGAAGTTGAACAAGAAGAGAACGCAGAGGAAGCAGAGGTTAAAGATGAAGAAGATGAAGAAATGGTAGATGTGCCAAAAAAGAAGAGAATAAAATCGTTCCAATTGACAAGAGGATGTCGATTACTGCAAAAAAGTATGTGCAATTACTTTGTGGAGGTGTTGATATCGCTGTTGGGCAAAAATATGAATCGAAATTTCAATTGGTGATTCGAATGAAGATAATCAGTGTCTTACAAAAATTTGACTTTGTCGTTGCTCGGTCTACGCCTCTAGTTTATGCTGTAAAGTGTTGGGTAAAAGGGTGTTGTTGGAGAGTTATAGCTTCAACGATTGATGCATCTGGGAATTTTCACATCAAAGTCTATGTGAATCAGCATACGTGTTCTGTAACAGAGCGATCCGCCCGTTGTAGACAAGCAACCAAGGATATACTTGGAGTACTTTACAAGAATTTTGTTGGTGGTGTAGGCCCAGGCGTACTCCCTAATCATGTATCTGAGGCGTTGAAACTGCGTTATGGCATCCAGATAAGTCTATTTACTAGGTTTCCATATAAGTGCTCACACCCGTATTGCGTTGGTAACTATATGACATAAACTTTCAGCTTACTAGGTTGGATATTGGAAATCTCATCGTACACTTAAGTATGCACGTGAATTAGTTAGAGGTAGTCCGTAAACTGGGTATAAAGACCTTCCAGAATACTTATACAGGATTAGATTAGGAGAACAAACCCCGGGACCCTTACCAGGCTTGAAGTAGATGAGTTAGATAGATTCAAGTATGTTTTCATTTCATTTGGTGCTAGCATTGATGGCTTTACTTTTATGAGGAAAGTTATTGTTGTGGATGGTACATTTTTGAAGGGGAAATATTTAGGGACCTTGTTACTAGCTACCACACAAGATGGAAATTTCAATATATTTCCCTTAGCGTTTGCTGTTGTTGATTTAGAGAACGATGAATCTTGGGAATGGTTCTTCAGACACCTAAGCTGTGTTATTCAAGATGATCATGGACTAGCCATTATTTCGGATAGGCATAAATCTATTGCAAAAGCTATAGGGACTGTATATCCACAAGCTAGCCGAGAGATTTGCACATACCATCTACACAAAAACATAAAGCTTAGATTTAGAGAAAGTGAAACATTTGGATTAGTGAAGAAGACGGCTACAGCTTATCGGTTAGTAGATTTCAATGTAACTTTTGATATTATTAAAGCTTTGTATCCAGACCTGCACAGCTATTTGGTGCGGGCAGATGTAACTACGTGGAGTAGGGTTCACTTTCCAAGAGATAGATACAACTTCACAATAAGCAACATTGCTGAATCATTAAACAAAGTGTTAAATCCTGCTATAAGGTATCCCATTGTTAAATTGTTAGACGATATAAGATTGATGTTAACTCGATGGTATGCTGCAAGGAGAAAACATGTTGCGCTTATGACAACCGTTCTCACTAAAGGAGTTGAAGAAGCACTATAGGTATTACATAAACATAACTTACTTTATTTTAAACTGTCAGCCTTTATTTTTTGATCCATCTATTTTAATTAATGTATCTTTCCTCTAACAGTCCCGAGTGATTCGCACTAGTAAGCTAAGTGTTCAGGAGATTGATCCCCATCAATACGAAGTGAAGAGTGGGGTGTCTATGAATGTTGTTAGTTTAAAACAGAAGTAGTGTACATGTCGTATGTTTGACCTCGACAAACTGCCTTGCATACATGCGATAACCGCAGCTGAGTCGGCTCATGTATCAAGGATTTCAAAGTCCCATCCTTACTATCGCTCAGAATACTTACGAAATGATTATTCAAAATCTGTAATGCCAAAGGATGAGGCGTGTTCTGTACCTGATTCAATAACCGGGAAGTCTGTCAATCCACCTTTTGTTAAGGTTCAATCTGGGAGGCCGAAGATGTCACGGATTAAAGGTCATTTAGAGGTTGCATCACCGCCTAAAGTACCAAGGAAAGCATATGCTTGTTCCAACTTTGGAAATGTTGGCCACAATCGGCTGTCTTCCAAAGCTTAATACATTTGATGATTTGAACATATCTCTACTGTTAGTGTTGGACCAATTTGTAAGAATACATTTGTTTTCTCTGTGTGTTGTTGTTTTCAGTTAAGCAATCCTTAATATAAAAAACAGAGTTGTTACAAAAAACAGAGAACTACAACATCATTGGGAATGCAATTGTTCTTATTGTTCTTAACAAATTTCATGAAAAAAGTGTTACTCTCCAAAAAAATAAGCTTACACAAACCCATTAATTCCTCAATCACAACAAAGTCTCCGCTAGATGAGCGACTAACTCTTTCAGTTTTTGGATCTCTTTACCATTACCTTTCAAATCTGAACGCATTTTTTGTTGATAGTACTCCAAGCTTTGAATCTTTTTGTGATTGGTTTCAACCTCCTCCCTTAAGTTAGTCACCTCTTCTACCATAGCTTTATCCCAAAGTTTCCGAATGTGTAACCCATCATTCTACAAAACAAGAATTGTATATCGAGATCAATTATTCTAAAACAAGAATGATGCTATCTATATCATGAATTTACCTTATACACGTTGCATTGATAGTATCTCTTCCCTTTGTCACCATCGTCCTCAAAGATCTTGCCGAGGATGCGTCCACCACAAGGACATCTCTCCGGAATTCCTTCCATCATTCCGACTTCTTCTAGTTGATCCATTATCCTCTTAGCGTTCTTCATCTCATCATACCACGGGTCTCTCTCACACAATCGATCCATAATTGAAAAAAGAGACAAAGATTGAAGAGAAGGAAAATGTTGGAGCGATTTCTCAGAGTAAGAGCGATATGAACCAACTTTACTTTTATATAGTTTCATATAGAAGACAGATATTAACCTAATGTTGACGTTTTAGTAGACTCACGACGACCATGTGAGTGAGTACATATAGGGCCGTTTTGGAATTAAAATAGTATTGTGTTATTGGGATTTTATTAAAAACAATTAATTCGGCCCATAGAAATTTAAACATATGCCCTAATTTTTAAAAGTCTTCCGATTGGGCGCCGAGAAAACCCGTCGGAACTCAGTCATTTCCGCTTCCGGAACCTATGCAGATTCTTCTTTGGTTAGTTTGATTCGCATTAGAATATGATAAAATCTTTGGGGGTGTTGTTGTCAGGAATGGCTCGAGTTAGAGACCCAAAGGATATAACAGTAGAAGAACCGGGGGAAAAGTATCCTTCGAGCGGAGCTTCAAATGGTTATGATGTTGCTGTAAGCGTTCTGACAGAAGCTTCTTCAGATGCAGCTGTAAAAGTTCTAATAGAAGCTTCTGATGCTTCTGAATTGGATCGAACAGAGGATCCTGTAGAAGGATTAAAAGGAACAGAAGCTGTAGAAGAAATGGAAGAAGTAGCTGATAAAGAGGAAAAGGAAGAAGTACGTAATTCAGAAGACGTCGATGGTGAGGTAGAAGTCAGTAATGCAATAGGAGGTGAGTGTGAGGCAGAAGTGAGTATTTCAATTGATGTTGATGAAGAAGAGAGACACCAAGATGATGCGCGAGGAGAAAGAGGTAGTGCTGATGAGGAAGTCAAGAGAAACATTGATGCTGAGGATGATGATGATTCCCAACCACTGCCACCAGAGAATATGGTCTTCGGTCCAACTGAGTACATCAAGGTCTGTAAGGTAGGAAGTAGATATAAATTGGGCCAAACAGTGGCAATGATAGAGGGAATTGATGCAGAATTGAAGTGGTTCCGTAATCATGATCAATTTAAGCATATGTTCCACATGCCCAAGGAACCAAATCATATGTTTTAAGGCATGTGGATGCTTATGGTTCGCACCGCTAAGACGGAGATGGTGAGAGAGTGTTGGTTTGTGGTGAATGGAGTGCCTATAAGGTATTCTATGAAAGAGCACGCGTTGTAATGCGTACTGTTAATCTTCAAGAATTTTTCGATCATGGTGAATATGCACATGAGGACTCGATATACATGCATTTCTTACTCAAGTGCTTCAAGTATGGAAACCCGACTTCCAAATACATGAAATCTCTCCGGTTTCTAACACAAAAGGGTCATTCACAAGAAGCAATCGATTGTCTTGGTGAATCCGCTGACCATAGCATTTTTGGTCATTATGCATATGGCTTGTTTCTCATTTGCTGTGGAGCAGTTGAAGACGGTAAATAGATATTGGACGGATTTTTTACAAAGGGTTGATGACCTTATTGAAGGAGTCATGATCGCGGAACATGTCGAAACCGAGATTCGTGAAATGGGTCTACTTGGATTTTGTCTCTTCTGAGAATATTTTCAACCATCACAACTTCGCCCGGTTTACATGTTATACCATCCTATAGATATTCTCATTTGCAAACATTGTTTTGCCTTAACGTACGCTACAAGGTTACGTACTATGTGTTAACCAACCTAAATCTTAGGCATCATTATATTAGAGTGTGTTTTACGTTTAGTAAGGCACTTATGTACTCGTATTTTCCATTGCTATAATGCTGAACTGTGATGTAAAATAACTCTATGTCGTAATTATGGTTTTTGATGTGTGTCAAGTTAAATTATATGTAATGTCCCTCCTTTAATTTAAATACATCTCTCTAAGTAGAGTTGTGTAATCAATGTAACTACACTATAGTCACAAAGTAAAATGTATCTATAACAAGAATAAGATATTTTACAGTCTTTCTAACAAGTTCAGTTCGCTATGTTTGTAAGTTCAGCATAGTGACTCTGTATCCACTCCATTTCAGAGGTGGTAGCATTTATGATATAGTTATGGCTCAGCTGCTAAAGTCTATTCTCACCCACTGTAATTAAACACAAAAAGATCTAATTTTTATCCATCTATATACACTACAAGGAAAATGAAGCATCTGTAGCGCCCGAATAATGCTATATAACTCTACTGTAGCGTTTTAACAAGCGCTCTATCATCGCCCGTCATAATAGGTCGGAAACATATTATAGCAGTTTTTTGTTATGCTACCATAAAGTTTGTTATTACAGCGCTTTTCTTTATGCTATAAGTAATAATATAATATCGATTAATATTCGATATTAAATAATACTATTGACAGCATATTTATTTTGCTACATATAAAATGACAATAGCAGTTAATAAACTGCAATTGTTTCATCTCTCTCAATGGCGACGGCGCTAGGGCTTTAGCCCGACCATGCGTTCGAGTCTTCAAGTAACGGTGGCTCTGGAGTCGTTCTGGGCGATTGGATCCATTTCCTGGCGGTCTGATGGGGGTTTTTTCTCTAGGTTTCGGTTGGTTTCATTGGTTTCAATGGTTATGGAGGCCCCTCGGCGATGGATCAACTCAATTTTGCTCTCAATTTCTCTGGTAACGGGGCTTTTGAGATCTTGGGTGGTGAATAAGACTTCAATCTGGTGGATTGATGGAAGAGGTTTGGTTAGGTTTCGATTGGGTTCATTGGCTTTATTGGTCTTAGAGGTATTTAGCAGAGGTAGCCGATGTGGGTTTATCTCATACCAGAATCGAAAGAAGACCTGCGAGGGGAAGGGTTTTCGATTTGGTTGGGGCGTGCCTCGGATCTTGTTTTTGAAGGAAGTTTGTGGTTTCAGGGGCTTTCGATCTGCCAAGGGGTGGTCGGATTGTGTGGTTCTTGTGGTGTTGATGGTGGATCTGGATTCTTCAAATCTAGATCTGGTCTCGTGGTTCAGCGTCTCAGATTTTGCTTGGGAGGAAAGAAGGATTTCTTTTCAAATTAGATCGATTCAAAAGGATCTATGGTCCTTCTCGGTGAAGCCATTTCAGAAATGGGGAGATCACGTAATCTATTTGGGGCTTGAGGTTGAGGAGTTGAGGATCGGTGGTCTGCAGCTTCCCGGTTGGGTTTTGTTGCTGTTGGATTTGAAGATTGTCGGTGGTATGAATGTGATTGGAGCTGCAGATCAGGTGGGGTTTGATGAAATTGATACTCCATTTGTTAGGTTTTGGTTTTCGGTCTATAGAGGATTTTGTTCGAAATTGGTTGCAGGTATTGGATCAATTCAAGAAGCTTTTCCTATCTGGTTCTATGGGGGTTCGGAAGGTGTGGTTCGGTGGTTGTTGGAGCACTCACAGTCTTGGAGATGGGCTATGGGGCAGAGGTTTCCACAAGGAAACGGCTTGTGGGCTTCGAATCTTTTCGGATCTGAGATGTTTTATCATCCGTTCTTGATGTTTGATCTCTTTAGGAGATCTTCGGTGAGCTATACGGTTTTTAATAGTCATAATTTTTTGGATAGGGAAAGAAATATCTCGGTGGAAATCTCTGATCAAAAGGGGAAGAATTGTTCACGGTTGGAGAAATTAATTTCAGGTGGTTTTTCTTTGGATGAATATGGGTCAAACGTTGAGGGTATATCAGAAGAGGCACAAAAAGGTGATGCAGATTACAAGTTGGGAGTGTATAAACCAGATTCACGGTCTGGTGGTTTCCAAATCTGCTGGCCCGCCGGAGGGTATGGGTCATCATCAAGGAGAAAGATTTCCTCCAAAACGTTTATCGGATTGATGCGTAATTATGGTTGGAAGGGTGAATGGTGGGTGAGTTTTTTAAAAATAAGTTCTTTACAAGAGCTTGATTTCCAATTTTTCTTCAGATTCAATGATCTTTTCTCGGTAAATCAGAGGTTATGTTGTAAGGTTTTTATTTTTGGCTATTATGTTGGATTCAATTCTCAGATTATATATGTGTGCTGTATTATCTGTGTTATTGAAGTAATAATAAAAGGAAGGAAAAGTTCAATTTCTGATTTGTATGGTGTATTGGTGATGGAGATCATGGCAAAATATTATTGGTTTGTAAAAAAGGATTTGCTAAAAACGTACGTTTTACGTTGAGGTCTATTGCAAATCAAGTGAATGAAGGCCAAAAACCTTTATACCATGGTATGGTGAAGGGCTTCACGGGTGGACGCAACCCACCTAAATCAAAGGTTGATAAATGAAAATTTTAAGTTGGAATTGTCAAGGACTCGGGAACAAGGCAACTATCGGTTATCTTCGGGATATATGGAAACAACACCGGCCAGATTTTTTATTTCTTTCGGAAACAAAACAATCTTCTTTGTTTATGGAAAAATTCATTGGTTATTTTGGTTACAAAAATTTAAAAACGGTGGACCCTATCGGTTGTAGTGGCGGTTTAGCTTTGTATTACAATAATGATTTTAATGCATCAATTATTTTTGAAAGTAATCGTTTAATTGATGTTGAAGTTGTGGTAAAAGGAAAAACAATTCATCTCACTTTCGTTTATGGTGATCCGGTTCCGAAAAATAGAGACCAAGTTTGGGAACGGTTAACACGGATCGGCTTGAATCGGGTTACACCATGGTTTTTTATAGGTGATTTTAACGAGTTAACTGGAAATCATGAGAAACGAGGGGGTAAGTTAAGACATGCATCTTCTTTTATCCCCTTTAATTTAATGATCCAAAACTGCGGCCTTTTAGATTTCCCATATATCGGAGATTGGTTGTTTTGGCGGGATAAAAAACCAATACGGTGTCGTTTGGATAGAGCTTTAGCAAACGAAGATTGGCATGAAATATTCTGTAATTCTTTTGTAGAATATTTACCGATGGTTGCTTCCGATCATTCACCGGTGGTAGCTACGCTTATGGATAAGGTACCACGTGGAAAACGAAATTTTTGGTTTGACAAGAGATGGATTGGGAAGGAAGGACTATTAGAGGCAATATCAAATGGTTGGAATTTTGATACTGAGTTGGGAGAAGGGAAATTTGTGGAAAAATTAACGAATTGTAGGCGGGCTATCTCGCAGTGGAGGAAAGAATTAACTCCCTACGGGCGGCAAACAATTGAGGATCTCAAAAAGGAATTACATGAGGCACAACGAGACGATAGGAGATCACGGGAGGAGATTACAGAATTAACAATGCGGTTAAAAGAGGCTTATAGAGATGAGGAAATGTATTGGCATCAGAAAAGTAGGAGTTTTTTATGCAATTAGGGGATAATAATTCGAAGTACTTTCATGCTCTCACCAAACAACGACGAGCAAGGAATCGAATTACGGGTTTACATAACTAAAATGGGATTTGGTCTGCAGAGGATAAAGATATTCAAAATATAGCGGTATCTTATTTTGAGGATCTCTTTACTTCAACTAAGCCTGATGCTTTTGAGGAAGCCCTGGCAGAGGTTCAAACGCTGATTACGGATCAGATTAATAATTTTCTAACGGCTCCCGCAACGGAGTGTGAGGTGAGATCGGCTCTGTTTATGATGCATCCGGAGAAAGCACCAGGGCCGGATGGTATGACATCTTTATTTTTTCAAAAGGCTTGGGTTACTATAAAAGCAGATCTTCTTTTTCTGGTCAACTCTTTTTTAGAGAATGGAATTTACGACTAATATTTGTCTGATTCCAAAGACGGAAAGACCGACACGGATGACGGAATTACGGCCTATAAGTCTTTTCAATGTTGGTTATAAAATTATATCAAAGATTCTTTGCCAAAGACTAAAGACGGTTCTACCAACACTAATCTCAGAAACACAATCGGCTTTTGTAGAAGGTCGTTTGATTTCGGATAATATTCTCATTGCACAGGAGATGTTTCATGGGTTGAGAACTAATCCGTCATGTAAAGGAAAATTCATGGCGATTAAAACGGATATGAGTAAGGCTTACGATAGGGTGGAGTGGAAGTTTATTGAGAAGTTTTTAAGAAAATTGGGTTTTTGTGAAAAATGGGTTAATTGGATAATGTGGTGTATTACAACAGTCCAATATAAAGTCCTCCTTAATGGACAACCTCGAGGACTAATAGTACCAGAGAGGGGGTTACGACAAGGAGACCCGCTCTCGCCCTATTTATTCATCCTCTGCACTGAAGTGCTAATTGCGAATATTCGGAAAGCAGAACGGGAAAAATTAATTACGGGTATTAAAGTTGCAAATGCAAGCCCTTCGGTTTCACATTTATTATTTGCGGATGATAGCTTATTTTTTTGCAAAGCTAATAAGGATCAGTGCGGGATTATTTTGGGGATTTTAAAAAAGTATGAAGCGGTTTCGGGACAGCAGATTAATTTTCAAAAATCCTCGATTCAATTTGGACATAAGGTAGATGATGAAATCAAAGAAGATATCAAAGCTACCTTGGGTATCACTAATATCGGTGGTATGGGCTGGTCGGCAAAATTTTTATCGAAAGGTGGGAAAGAAGTGATGATTAAATCGGTAGTTGCAGCATTACCAACTTATGTTATGTCGTGCTTCAGACTACCGAAAACAATTACTTCTAAACTTACTAGTGCGGTTGCTAATTTCTGGTGGAGTTCGAATGGTGACTCTAGAGGTATGCATTGGATGGCCTGGAATAAATTATGCAATAGCAAATCGGAAGGGGGTTTGGGTTTCAGGAATGTAGACGACTTTAACTCAGCATTATTAGCTAAACAGTTATGGCGGTTGATCACGGCCCCAGATTCTCTTTTTGCGAAGGTTTTTAAAGGACGGTATTTTCGGAAATCCAATCCTTTGGAAAATATAAAATCATACTCCCCATCATATGGATGGCGGAGTATATGCTCAGCTAGATCTCTGGTTAATAAAGGACTTATTAAAAGAGTCGGATCTGGGACATCCATCTCAGTTTGGGAGGATCCCTGGATTCTAGCTCAATTCTCGAGACCAGCAAAAAGTAATGGTTCAATTGCTGACCCATTATTAAAAGTTCAAAACCTTATCGATAGTCGGTCTAACTTTTGGAATATTGATCTCTTAAAGGAGATCTTTGATCCTGAAGATGTCGCGCTAATAAGCGCCCTTCCAGTAGGTGCGCCAACGAAGGACGATACTCTGGGTTGGCACTTTACAAAATCTGGAAAATATACAGTTAAGTCGGGTTATCATACCAACTTTTTTGTTTATTGGTCCAGATATCAAACCGCGAAAAGCACACTCTTGGAAAGTGCAGTGCCCACCGAAGATACGACATTTCTTATGGTAAATTTTAAGCGGTTGTGTACCGGTTACGGAAAATCTACGGAAAAGAAGAATGGATTGTGACACAGGATGTGCCAGATGTGGTGCATCAGAGGAAACAATCAATCATACATTATTTCAGTGCCACCCGGCACGGCAGATTTGGGCACTTTCACATATTCCAGCGGCGATCGGGATTTTTCCCACGGAATCCATTTTTGCGAATTTGGATCACTTATTTTGGAGAATACCTTCTGACTTTGATTTTTCAGCTTTTCCATGGATTATATGGTATATTTGGAAAGCAAAGAATGAAAAAATCTTTGAAAATATAGATAAAGACCCGTTAGAGGTATTACGGTTAGCAGAAAAAGAGGCACAATTATGGCAAGCAGCTCAATTAGAGCTCCAAGAAGGAAATCATGGTGTTGTGAGTTCGGCAACTCTGTCCCGAGTGAGGGAGGTTTCTTTTGATTCGAACTTTTCAGGATATCGTTGTTTTGTGGATGGATCGTGGAAAGAAAGTGATAAGTTCTCCGGTACAGGGTGGTTCTGTACATCGTCAAATGGAGAGCCGCCAACCATGGGAGCTGCGAACCTCCGTAGAAGTCTATCTCCACTACATGCCGAAGTCGAGGCCCTTCTCTGGGCGATGAAGTGTATGATTGGTGCAGATCATCAAGATGTAGTGTTCTTTACAGACTGTTCAGACCTGGTGAAGATGGTGTCTTCTCCAACCGAATGGCCGGCGTTTTCAGTGTATTTGGAGGAATTTCAGAGCGACAAGGAGGAGTTTTCATCTTTTTCTTTATCTTTAATTTCTCGTAGAGCTAATGTCAAAGCGGATAATCTGGCACGAAAAGTTCGTACAGAACTGCTTCATATCACATATGTAAACAACATTCCTCGGGAATGGTTCTTTTGAATTTTATTTAATTTCGGATGACAAAAAAAAAAAACTGCAATTGTTTCAATTTATGGCATTTTGTTTTGGTGCAATATTTGACCATCCATTTCCAGTTCCAATTCTGTTTTGATCAAATTATTTACAAATTAAGATTATATAAAACAGATTTAAAAAAGACAAAATGAAATTCATATTAGATAAACATGTCAAATTACATGATCATGCCTTAGCAAGTACTGAATTCACCAAAATAACAATGTTGGTACTCAAACAATTTAGACAAACATGATTTTATCATTAGGCCAAGCCACAATACTACCTACTGCATCGACAATGGTTTGAATTTCAGAGTTTGGTCTCCACACAGCTGCATCTCCAACCTTTGACACTTCTACCCAAACTTTGCTCGCATTGGCACCAAGAGGCATATGATGGACTGTATCAGATGGATTAGATGGACATACTCTTCCTTCTGCTACTTTTTTCCCTGGAGTTTTTGCAGTCTAACAAGATGCATTTCTTCTTGACTGATTTGCTTGTGCTACCAGTGCTGTTACTTAAGCTCTATAATAAGCAAAAATCAAAAATTACTTAAATCCATCATTCATCAATTCACTTAAAGTAAAAAGTTCAAAAAATTTACCAGTGGAGGAGATGGTCTTTTATCTGCTGCTGCTGATTCATTCCTTGGTGAGGAATTCACAAATTGTATACTCTGAAGAGGCCATGCGATGTTCTCATGTAGATATGCGTTCTTGTTAAACACTTTCTCAACATTAACAATTCCAGCAGAATGACCAAGAGGCATATTGTTGACCATTTTGTCCTTGTCAGTTGAACACAATCTTCCCTCAGCAACCACAGAGTCAGCCAAATTCCAATCAATT